ACGCAGGTACCCTGTTGCGGTGTTGGCCCCTCTAATGCGACTAGGAAACAGTAGGAAGACGACCACAGCATGTCTATCGGCCGACCCTGAGGGAATTCTTGAAGCAAACGAAAATGTATATTCAAAAATATAATCAGGTAATAATCATGCCTACTGCTTATATTTGAGTAGTGCATTAGTGTTATGTAATGGCGATTTGCCAGAGGAACTTACGTGCGAACGACTGCAGTATGGGTGACAGCGGAATAACGCGCTTCTGGCGTAATTCGGGATCCAGTTGTAGGATAACCGTAGTCGGAACAGCAGGAAAGTTTGGAATTATTCCTGTGAGACAGACGGCCAACTGCTTGCCCTTTGGACTCCAGGAAACTAGGGTAGAAGAGAATTTTGTCAAGGCTTAAAAGGCACAGCCCACCAGATGAGACTTGTTTGACCGACTGACTGAAGTTTTTATATCTTGTAATTGCAATAAGTACCGATTACCGATGACCAACACCAACTCCGAATACCCTATGGCCTAGAAACAGTTCAACTTTCATGACGAAGTTTGACTTGGTAGCTTAGCATATCTTTAGTCGAGTTATATTGATCTGCTGAGTGGATTTAACCCTGGGAAGGCCCTCTAGTTAGGTTTATTAAAAGTAATGGGCATTAATTTTGACGAAACTGTGAGTAGTCTCGTATCGAAGGAATTCCCTTTGGTATTACGTATGACAGAACCAAACTTTTTATTAATGTGTATTGTGCAATGGAAGAACTCCAAAATAAGTAAGGGAGGTTTAAATATCCCTTCCAGAACCAGAAAATTTAGTCCGAAGTTGCTCAAATTTAAATGAATCCAATTCTAAGGAGTTGCACTTGCATTCAGAAACAATGAACAATTTCAATTTTAAAAAAAATTTCTGGTAAGCTGTGAAGTTTTTGGCACTAAATGCAGTAAAAACGTTTTGAGGGCATTTTGTTTAACTGCATCAACCTTAGAAGAAAGTTAGCAAAGCTGATCATACGTTATCGCGAAACCGTTGGATAAAACCTAATCTTACTAAATTGAAAACATCTCAAATTGAATCGTTTATCTTCAGGTAAATTTTAAAAGAAATTGTCAAAAGTTTCCATTTTCATTTTGACATGGCCTTGGAAAAAGGTAATATGCGCAAAATTTTTTCAGCTGAATATCTAATTAAAGTCTTTTTTAAAGAGGTAACTTATTAAAGAAAGTTTTTTTTATTAATTTAATGAATAATAATATCAGACTTTTGTTGCGGACGTCCTTTTTGCTCAACAGTGTGTTTTACTGTTTGGCCCAAATGGCAATCTTCATATGAACTAATAACCAAAAACTCATTCCTTCGGTAAATTCTTGTAAAGGTTTTGATATAAACATCGAACAAAACTTTGACTTATGCACTTAAGCTTGAAGAGGCTGAAAACGCTGGAAAACTAATCGGCACTTAAAGGTCCATTTGTAAGCAATTGTAATTAAATAGTAAAAATATGTTCAAAACGTTTTTGATTTAAGAAAATTAATTTTGTTATGAAGAAAGTGGTATCGTTAACCTTTAAAATGAACATAATATTTAAATTTTTTGTTCTGATTTATAGCTATTTTTTACATCTATGGAACTTGGGGATAAGCAAGAAAATTTCCTTTTTTTCTTAACTAACAGTTAGTACTTCCTATATTTCTTTTGAGTAAGAAATTTGCCTAAGTTTGTTCATTATAAACCTCTAAGTTTTCGTACATGTGTTACTGCCAGTTTGCGAGTGCTTATCAATTTGTTGCAAACCTCGGCATGCTGGGCCGTACTGTATATATAAATAATGGCAGATAGCTGCACACCGATCAGTTACAGGTCACATTGGTCAATCCCTGGTGCCTTTGGAGCTCTCTCCCGAACCTACACCGTTAGGCGGTTAGGGATATAGAGAAGACAACTCGATCGCTGGGACAATATGCTTATTCGCCTGAGGTTTCGACATCCGTCGCACATTCATCATCAGAGACATTAGCAGGAAGCGGTTAAGGAGGTGGGCAGAAGGACATTACCAACAAGGACAAGGGAGACTACGACGCCCACTTCTGGAGTATCAGCCGTCGTCAGCAAGTCATACCCAGACTCAAGTGGTGTCATACCCTAGCCTCGACATTTTGTGACCTCTCTGACCAGAGTCAAACGCCCTAACCATTGACCTACGAACTCGATGTCTTGTCGGTATTTAATCAGGGATACACAGTGGCAGATACGCGTGCACCGATCTGTCAGAGGATACAGTCGTCCGTCCATGGTGCCATTGGAGCTCTCTCCCGAGCCCACACCCGAAGGCGGTGAATGATATAGCAGGACATTACCGACAAAGACAAGGGAAACTAGAACGCCCAAATTTGGCGCCTTAGCCTTCGTCAGCTAGTCATACCTAAACTAAAGTGTTTCCCCAGAAATTGGTGCCTCACCCGAGCCTTGAACCCGCGACCTTGTTATCTAGAAGTCCAACACTCTAAC